CCCTAGGTAACGCATTCCAGCGTTTCACCACCCTCTTAGTGAAAAAGTTTTTCCTAATATCCAATCTAAACCTCCCCCACTGCAACTTGAGACCATTACTCCTCGTTCTGTCATCTGCTACCATTGAGAACAGTCTAGAGCCATCCTCTCTGGAACCACCTTTCAGGTAGTTGAAAGCAGCTATCAAATCCCCCCCTCATTCTTCTCTTCTGCAGGCTAAACAATCCCAGCTCCCTCAGCCTCTCCTCATAACTCATGTGTTCCAGACCCCTAATCATTTTTGTTGCCCTTCGCTGGACTCTCTCCAATTTTTCCACATCCTTCTTGAAGTGTGGGGCCCAAAACTGGACACAGTACTCCAGATGAGGCCTCACCAATGTGGAATAGAGGGGAACGATCACGTCCCCTCGATCTGCTCGCTATGCCCCTACTTATACATCCCAAAATGCCATTGGCCTTCTTGGCAACAAGGGCACACTGCTGACTCATATCCAGCTTCTCGTCCACTGTCACCCCTAGGTCCTTTTCCGCAGAACTGCTGCCTAGCCATTCGGTCCCTAGTCTGTAGCTGTGCATTGGGTTCTTCCGTCCTAAGTGCAGGACCCTGCACTTATCCTTATTGAACCTCATCAGATTTCTTTTGGCCCAATCCTCCAATTTGTCTAGGTCCTTCTGTATCCTATCCCTCCCCTCCAGCGTATCTACCACTCCTCCCAGTTTAGTATCATCCGCAAATTTGCTGAGAGTGCAATCCACACCATCCTCCAGATCATTAATGAAGATATTGAACAAAACCACCCCAGGACCGACCCTTGGGGCACTCCACTTGATACCGGCTGCCAACTAGACATGGAGCCATTGATCACTACCCGTTGAGCCCGACAATCTAGCCAGCTTTCTACCCACCTTATAGTGCATTCATCCAGCCCATACGTCCTTAACTTGCTGACAAGAATACTGTGGGAGACCGTGTCAAAAGCTTCGCTAAAGTCAAGAAACAATACATCCACTGCTTTCCCTTCATCCACAGAACCAGTAATCTCATCATAAAAGGCGATTAGATTAGTCAGGCATGACCTTCCCTTGGTGAATCCATGCTGGCTGTTCCTGATCACTTTCCTCTCATGCAAATCACACAACCTGCCCCATCCGCAGACCAAACTCACGCCAGCTCCCCAACCCTGAGCATGCAACCGACACACACACCTGCCAAGCCGAGATCCCACAACGACCCAGGCCCCAAGTCACAGGCAACACCCACAAAAATCACAACCCCGCCCCTCCACACGCAAACATCCCCAATCGCACACAACTGCTCCCCTGATCTGGTGTCCCCAACACACAGCCACACCAATCTAACACACTCACACAAGTATCACGCAGGCTTGTGCGTGGGCACACGTAGCCACAGACAACCATCACACACAGTCAGAACCCCGCACGCTACAACCGGCCACGTGCCATCATGCCGCAAACCCCGAGATCGGACACACACAAGCAGGAAGGCGCACACAACCACAACAGATCCACACAACCACAAACCCCAGCAGCAGCCACCCTCACTGAAACACACGCAGACAGGGCCAGTCACATACGTACAGGTGGGCACGGACAGAAATCCACCCCGGCACAACCCCACTAACAACAACCCCACACCCTGCCAACCAGTCACACACAGTCACAACCCCACGCCGCAACTGCTCACATCCGACTGGCGTCTACAGGCAGACACGCACAAAGACACCAAAATCCACCCCACCACACCCACAGCAAACCAGGCTCAAGTGACCACGGCCGCAAATGCGGGAACAAACAGACGTGCGACAGGGTGGGCCCACCCCATGGATCACGCACTCACAACGCTCCAAAGCACCCACACACACACAGCAAACCAGCCAGCCACAATCACAACCCCACGCCGCCACCACATGAATTAGTGCACGCACAGGCAGGTGGACACAGAAATCACAAATCACAACCCCCAGCCCCAGCGATTCAGAGCTCTCTCATATACACACACACAAAGTCAGTGACCCACCATCCCACACACAAATCTACACACACACACACACACAGAGTCAGTTACCCACCGTCCCCCACACACACACTCCTATCACCGAGGAGCGCCGGGAGGCCGAGTGGCTCTCCATCTCAGCCCTTTCCCCCGGGGGGGAAGCCGAGGGGGCCACGCCCCGGGGCTCCCCGGCCGGCCCCCCATGACGCTGCTTTGCCGGATCCCTGCCACCCCAGCTCCCGGGCGCCTCCAGCATCCGGCTCCCCCTCCCTGAAACCGCTGCCCTGGGGCGTGACGTGGGGGGGGACACACACTCACGTCGTTGGTGGGGGAGTTCGGGGGGCCCTCGGCTGGCATCTCTTTCTTCTTCTTCTTGTACTTCCGGGGCTGGGCCGGGTCCTCGCCCATGATCAGCTCCCTGGGCGGGTGAGAGCAGGATTAGGAACCGACCCGACGGTGCAGGGGGCGAGGTAACCGGGGCGAGGTAACTGGCGGCGAACGGGACAGACCGCGGGGGGCGCCCCGGCAGCCCCCGCCGCAGCAGGGAATGGACGAGGCGAGCCGCCCCAGGCTGGGAAACGCCCCCCAGTCCCCTCGCCCCGTAAACGGATCAAGCGCAGTCCCGAAGCCGGTTCGGTTTTTTTGTTCCCGAGCTTCGCGCTGCTGAAAATCCTTCGCCTTGTTTCAAGCCGAAACCCGGGGCCGGCCGGTTTCCAGCCACCCCCTTCTTCGGGCCTCGGGGCTCAGGATTTCCTCCCCGCGCCCCCCTCCAGCGCCGCCCCCGCGGGTACCTGTGCCTCCAGTAGGCATGCTTGTGGAAGTCGAAGTCGGGGATGGCCAGCTCGTCCTCCTCCCACGTGGACTGGTCGTAGGGCAGGTCTCGCCACTTCACCAGGTAGTGGTAGTTCCCCTTCTTGTCGATGCTGCCCGGGGAGGGAGCCGGTGAGGGACACCCAGATGTGGAGACCCCCAGGGCCCCGGGGCAGTGCGGGGGGCGGACAGGGACAGCCCCGGGGCAGTGCGGGGGGGGGCAGACAGGGACAGCCCCGGGGCAGTGCGGGGGGGGGGCAGACAGGGACAGCCCCGGGGCAGTGCAGGGGGTGGATGGGGACACCCCCAGGGCCCCGGGGCAGCACAGGGGACGGACGTGGGCACACCCAGGGCCCCAGGGCAGTGCGGGGGGTCGGACGGGGACACCCCCAGGGCCCCGGGGCAGTGAGGGGGTGCAGGGGGGGACACCCCCAGGGCCCTGGGGCAGCACAGGGGGCAGAGGTGACACCCCCAGGGCCTCGGGGCAGAGCGGGGGGCGGACGGGGACACCCCCAGGGCCCCGGGGCAGTGAGGGGGGGCTGGGGGGGACACCCCCAGGGCCCCGGGGCAGAGCAGGGGGCGACACCCCCAGGGCAGCGTGTGGGGACGGGCGTGGGCACCCCCAGGGCCCTGAGGCAGCACAGGGGGCAGAGGGGGCACCCTCAGGGCCCCGGGGCAGCGCGGGGGGCACCCCCAGGGCCTTGCCCCGGCCCACCTGTGGTTGATGATGCGGTGGATGGCCATCCACTCGGGCTTGATGCCGTAGCGGTAGAAGCGCTCCTCCATCTGGGCGTAGAGCGGGTCTTTGCTCTTCCGCTTCTCGCTCTTGCCGTCGTCCTCGCCGGAGCCGTAGTCCAGCGGGGGCGGCTCGTCCATGTCATTCTTCCGCTGGTAGTTGCGATACATCACCAGGTGGAAGATCTCCAGCTGGGCGCCCGGCGGGCCGGGGAGGGAAGAGGAAAGGGGGGGTGAGGCGCTTGGGTATGCCAGGCTCTGCGCAGACCCCCAGGCACCCCCCCAGCCCACACACGCCCCTCCCTGCCCGCCCTGGAGACCTACCTGCAGTTCCTTGGCCCAGGAGCAGTGCCAGTAGGACTGGCCGACCCACTTGACGAAGAACTCCCGCTCCGAGCGCCCCTGCAGCGGCTTGGGCGAGGGCTCGTCCGGGTCGGCGTCGGGCGGCCGGGGCACCAGCACGGGCGGGGGCGGCTCCCCCCAGCGCCAGTGCAGGATCTTCTGCACCCGGCCCTTCAGCACGGGGCACTGCGGAGGGGACGGAGGGGGAGTCAGGCCCGCCGCGCTCCCCCACCCGGGCACCGGGTCCCGCTCGGATTCAGCGCCGGCTCCCCCCCGGTCCCCGCAGGGTCTGCTGCCCCCTTGCGCTCTGGCAGGACTCCACTTCCTGTCCTAAAAGGGCCCTGTTAGGTTTGGTCATCCTCTCTCAGAACAGCTGATACGCCCCGCTCCAGAGGTGGCCACATCTCAACGCTGAGCAAGGGGTCCCTGGGTAACCAGCCACCCCGCCCCAGAGGTGGCCGCATATTAGCGCTGGGCGAGGGGTCCCTGGGTAACCAGCCACCCCACCCCAGAGGTGGCCGCATCTCAGCGCTGGGCGAGGGGTCCCTGGGTAACCAGCTGCCCCGCCCCAGAGGTGGCCGCATCTCAACGCTGAGCAAGGGGTCCCTGGATAATCAGCCGCCCCGCCCCAGAGGCGGCCGCATCTCTGCTCAATTTTTGCAGCTCTCCCCACGCCCATGAACTCCACGTCTCTCTGGGATCCCACGGGATGCTGCACAATGCAGAGATCTCCACGCCGAGAGGCAGAGCTGAGCCCGGGGCACCAGACCGTGCAGGAGGGGGCCTGGCTCTCGTCCGCCTGGGCGCCCTACCGTGCAGCGGGGGCAGAGCCATTCGCCGTTGGGGATCTCAGGCAGCGGCGGGTTGAGGCAGTGGATGTGGTAGGAGGAGATACAGGCATCACAGCATAGCAGCTCCCCGCCGTCCTTGCAGACCCGGCAGTACTCCATGTGGTCGTCCTCCTCCTCCTTCTCGCCTTCCTCCTCCAGCTCCTCCTCGTACTCCTCGTCTTCCTCCTTGGCTTCCCACTGCACCCCCTCCTTCTCCTGCGGGGGGGAGCGAGGCAGCCGGTCAGACGGGGGCGGGTGCCCGGCGGGAGGTATGCCCAGAGACCGGACGCCAGGCGCGGGACAGGCCCCCAGCCGGACGCACGCGCCCAGAGACCGGATGCCAGGCGCGGGACAGGCCCCCAGCGGGACGCACGCGCCCACAGACTGGACGCCAGGCGCGGGACAGGCCCCCAGCGGGACGCACGCGCCCAGAGACCCGACGCCGGGCGCGGGACAGGCCCCCAGCGGGACGCACGCGCCCAGAGACCGGACGCCAGGCGCGGGACAGGCCCCCAGCGGGACGCACGCGCCCAGAGACCCCACGCCAGGCGCGGGACAGGCCCCCAGCGGGACGCACGCGCCCACAGACCGGACGCCAGGCGCGGGACAGGCCCCCAGCCGGACGCACGCGCCCAGAGACCCGACGCCAGGCGCGGGACAGGCCCCCAGCGGGACGCACGCGCCCAGAGACCCCACACCAGGCGCGGGACAGGCCCCCAGCAGGACGCACGCGCCCAGAGACCCCACGCCAGGCGCGGGACAGGCCCCCAGCGGGACGCACGCGCCCACAGACCGGACGCCAGGTGCGGGACAGGCCCCCAGCCGGATGCACGCGCCCAGAGACCCGACGCCAGGCGCGGGACAGGCCCCCAGCGGGACGCACGCGCCCAGAGACCCCACACCAGGTGCGGGACAGGCCCCCAGCGGGACGCACGCGCCCAGAGACCCGACGCCGGGCGCGGGACAGGCCCCCAGCGGGACGCACGCGCCCACAGACCGGACGCCAGGCGCGGGACAGGCCCCCAGCCGGACGCACGCGCCCAGAGACCCGACGCCAGGCGCGGGACAGGCCCCCAGCGGGACGCACGCGCCCAGAGACCCGACGCCGGGCGCGGGACAGGCCCCCAGCGGGACGCACGCGCCCAGAGACCCCACGCCGGGCGCGGGACAGGCCCCCAGCGGGACGCACGCGCCCAGAGACCCCACGCCAGGCGCGGGACAGGCCCCCAGCGGGACGCACGCGCCCAGAGACACCACGCCAGGCGCGGGACAGGCCCCCAGCGGGACGCATACGGCCTGCACAGATCAATACCCTCTTTCAGAGGAAGCTTGACTCTCTTCTCTACAAATTCTAGCATCCTGCCCAGGGAAACCGAGTCAGGCCAGCCAGCTTTTCAGCAGCCGCTACCCCTCTGGGTCACCCCGATCACAAGTGACACGCCTCACAGGGCACCGATTTCTCAGGACGGACACCTGTAAGTAGCACCCAAAACGCACCAGTCCCTTCTGGGAAAGGCGGCGGGGGTCTCTACAGGGCACAGGGATGGTACCTAGGCGGGCAGGGGGTCAGGGAGCGAGGGGGGCGGCCAGGAAGGAACAGAGGGCGGCTTACACAGTGGGGACAGCTCCATTTGCCCTCGGGCGCCTTGTCGAGTTCGGGGTCCAGACACACCAGGTGGTAGGCCCTGGGGCAGGTGTCACAGAGGATGATCTCGCCGCCCTGTTGGCACACTTCACAGTAGTCCTGGTGGTCCGTCTCGTAGCCGTCCACCTCCTCCTCGCCAGCCACTGGGAAGGGACGCAAAAGCAGACACTGCAGAAGGTGGCGCCCAGACCCCACAGGCTGCTGCACCTCCCGCCCCACACGGGACGCACCATTCCCGCAGGCCAGGAAACGGATTTCCCGTCCCGCAAAGACTTCAGCAAGGTCGGGATCCCCACCCCAGCCGGCCCGGCTTGAGCCAGGGCAAACAGCTCAAAAGTTCACCAATAGCTGCGGCCTGACAAAACTTTCTCTTTTCCCCACTTTGGGCCAATCGAATTTCTAAACCTTCTGGCGAATTTCTAAATCTTTGGTTTCAACTTGGACCATTTCCCAACTTTTCTTTAAGTCTAATTAGCTCATGTTTCAAAACCATTTGCAATTCTGACCGGTTTTCCAGCAGAAAATGCGCATGCTTTCGACCTTTTTCAGTCCGATGGGCTTGAAATGGGCCTGATTTCCACCTTTCGGGATCTAATTGGCTTACATTTCAAAACTAGTCACGATTTTGACTAGTTTCAAGGTTGAAAATATTCCCAACTTCAACCTTTCCCCAGTCTAATTCATTAAAATTTCTAAACAAAACGGCATTTCGAAGCAGAAAACAGGAACGTTTTGTTTCCACAATTTCAAGCTTTCTCCTGTCCCAAGAACATTTTTGAGAGTTCAAGTTTTAAAAGTTGTTTCAGACCAGAACTTTTCATTTTGAGAGTTTCAAACCCCTCTGCCTCGGGATCTGGTTCGAGTCGGGAAATTCCCCAAGCCCGACCTGTTCTGAATGCTTTCGGATTTCACAAGTTGGCACTTTCCGACGATGAAGAAACGATTCATCAAAAGATTCCCGTTCAACTTTATTGTCTGTACTAGGAGCAGAGGAAGTCTGGCTTGACGGAGGACATGGACACTGCCCAGCTGCGTTAAGTCACTTCCTCCGTCTGTGCCTCGGTTTCCCCACTTAGCCTCTATCTATTCAGGGCTTCTCTACATGCTACTTAACTAAAAAAAAAAATTATTGGTAAAAAACCCCCAATTTCAAGTGTGACATTTACGAAAACAAGCTAGAAACCCACTGAACCAGAACACAGGAGAACTGGGTTCTGTTCCCAGCTTGGCATTGGGCAATCTGCCTCCCTGTGCCTCAGTTTCCCTATCTCTAAATGGCCATAATGATACTGATCTCCTGTGGAAAGCACTCTGAGATCTGCTGCTGGAAAGCGCTAGATAAGAGCTAAAGTCTGTTATTATAGGAACTAGACACACTCTGGTTCAACCACTTGAATTCCTTCAGGGAAGCATCGCCCAGGAGGTCAGACGAGAGACCACGATCCCCCCTCCTAGCCTTGGAACAGCTCGTCAGGGCGGGGGACAGCCTCTCACCATGCGTCTGCGCAGCGCCCAGCACCACGGGGCCCCGATCCTGGATTGGGATTGTGGAAATCGCTGTAACACAATAACAAGTCAGAGTCTGCAGCACTGTCGGACCCACAGGCTGGCTCGGGGGGCAGTGAATGGGGCACGGGGCCTTTCCGTTTTAAGGGGTGCCAGAAGATGCTACCTGACCCCCTCAGACAGCTCATGCCCTGAAGCATGGAAGTGGATGGCTGACAGCCCAGCTTGCCTGTCTTGGGGTCCTGGACTCATGCACGTCAAGTATTTGACTACCATGCATACTGCACTGAGTAACAGTCGTAAGCTACTGGGGCCTTTTTGCACAAGCTGGGGCGAGCTACATCTTAGGGACTGCTGCCCCGGGTCAGACCATCTACCCCGGTATCCCGGCTTGCCCCCTGGCGTGCAGGCTCTGACCCATGGGCCCAACTAGCCCGGTATCCCAGCTCGTCCCCTGGCATGCAGGCTCTGACCCATGGGCCCATCTAGCCAGGAATCCCGGCTCGTCCCCTGCCATGCAGACTCTGACCGATGGGCCCATCTAGCCCGGTATCCCGGCTCGTCCCCTGGCATGCAGGCTCTGACCCATGGGCCCATCTACCCTGGTAACCCAGCTCGGCCCCTGGCGTGCAGGCTCTGACCCATGGGCCCATCTAGCCCGGTCTGGTACAGTACAAGCCCCTCTGCTGCAAGCCAGCAACAACCAGAGCATCTCTCAATTAATTTCAGCCCACAGGCTGTCATTTCAAGGGACAGCACTGCTCCACCCCGGGTGTAAAAGCTCCTCCTACTCCTAGAAGTCCTGCCCCTCTGTGAAAGCTCCTCCCTCTTCTAGAAGCCCCGCCTCAGTGTGAAAGTTCCTTCCATCCCGAGAAGCCCCCACCCCGGTGTGAAAGCTCCTCCCACCCCTGGAAGCCCTGCCCCTGGCATGAAAGCTCCTCCCACCCAGAGAAGCCCCACCCCTGGCATGAAAGCTCCTCCCACCCAGAGAAGCCCCGCCCCTGGCATGAAAGCTCCTCCCACCCTGCTGCCACAGCCACGCTCACCCTTCTTCCTTTTCCTGCCAGGCCGGCCCCGCTTGAGTTTCTTGACCCGCCCCGAGCTGTCGGACCGCACCGAGGAGCTGTGGACACTGGAGTTGTCGACGTCAGACTCTTCCTCCATCTCGCCCACCTCGTCGCTCTGAAACACATGCTGTACATAACCATAGTGGCCCTCGTTAGCCGGGGCTCGTCCAGAGGCGCAAAGTGGGGGATGGGGGGGGAACAGGGACGGAGGGCGGGTCATGCGGCGTGTCTGATTCATTGCTGCGGGCGCCCTCCCCCCAGACCTGGCACGGGGGGCAGGGGGACATCAGTGGGACATCAGTGGGACCGAAAATACAGACATTCACGCCCATGGTTGGGCCACAGATTAGCAGGGCCCCCACGGTCGCACATGAGCCCCCAGACTAGGGAGGCCCCTGCCCTGGCGCCCCGAGGCATCTTTGCCTGCGGGGGAATTGGGGAGGGAAGGCGCTGGAGGGCTCTCCGCTCGCCAGCAGTTTGGCAGGCAGCCTTGCTGGAAAGCAGCCAGGCTCCAGCCCCGGTTAAAGCCAAGTGTGGCTTCCACCACCTCCTCCCGTCTGGCCACCTACAGCCCAGGTCAGAGGGTCTGCTGCGGGAGCCAGGGCAGGGCTAAGGCCGAGAGCCCGGGTGAGCTATGCAAGACAGACTCACTCCAAGGGTAAGTCCGCAGTGCAAAAAAAAAAGTGGGAATGCTCTGAATGTTGTGTCTGAATGCTGTGTGCGTGTGCCTCAGTTTCCCCCACGTGTTATTGAAAGCTGGGAGGGCGGGTCGAGACAGCACACCCGGAGGGGAGACGGTGCCCCAGAGTCCTGCCTGGCTCGGTGATGCCAGGGTACGGCCACACTCCAGTGAAAAACCCGCCACCCCCAGTTTCAGAGCTCAGGTCAAGTGACTCGGGCTGGGGGGCTCAAGACCCTCTCCCCGTGCGGCGCGATTCTAAGCCCCACCGGTCATCCAGCACTTCCAATCCCGTGAGCTTGGTTTTCCGAAGCCGGGGGACCGTGCAGAATAACCATGAAGCCAGGGAGGTAACTTCCCAGCCACGTGGGGGCAAACCGAGCAGCCAAAGCAGAGACCTGGAAGGGTGCGTCTACACGGCACACGACGCCCGGGCTGGGACTCAGGTTCGAGCCACGGCCCCTGCGTTCCGTCCGGACGCGGGTCTCCGCGAGCTGTCAGGACTTGGGACACAGGACGCTGCTGGGGCGTGGGTCGGGTGCCCCAAGTCCTAGCCCCGTTATTTCGAAGCATGTATGCAAGCCGGAGAGACCCAGGTCCAGCCATTGTAAGCTCTGGTTCACAATGCGGTGTAGACGGAACCCCAGCAGAACTTTCTATGCTTTGGACGATGTCCTCCCGGTGCTGCTCGGATGTTTGCTCCAACCCTGCCCTGTCCCCTTCCACAGGCACCGACTCCGTGGGTGCTCCAGGGAAAAATTAGTGGGTGCTCAGCACCCACCAGCAGCCAAGCTCCTCTCAGCCCCCGCCCAACCTCCTCCTCCTCCTCCCCACATGAGCGCGCCGCATCCCCGCTCTTCCGCCCACCTCCCAGCACTTCCCCCCCGGCCGCCACCAAACAGCTGTTTGGTGGCGTTAGCACGCTCCAGGAGCGGGGGAGGGAGCGGGAACGTGGTGCGCTCAGGGGAGGAGGCGGGGAAGAAGCGGGGACGGGGCAGGGATTTGGGGAAGGAGTAGGAATAGGGGCAGGGAGGGGGAAGAATTGGGGTGGGGACTTTGAGGAAAGGGTTGGTATGGGGGTGGGGCCTCATGGAAGGGGTAGGAAGGGGCGGGGCCGGGGGCATGGGGGGTCGAGCATCCATGGGAAAGAGGGGAAGTCGGCGCCGATGTCCCCTTCCCTCTCCAAAGCTGGCCCCCCTCCTATCAAAACCCGCCCCCTCAATCCATCCCAGGCTGAAAGCCTCAGATAACGCCCGTGGCTGGTCCCTGCCTCGCCTGCTGGCATTTGGGATCATTCTCAGCTTCCCAACCGGGCCCTGGCAGCAAGTCACCAGTCCTCTCCGGCGGGGCCCCGGCATAGAAACGGGAATTATTCGGGAGGGGGGAAAAAAAACCCACCCGCTTTTGTGAGAGTTGGGGACCCGGCATAACCTCCCTCCTGAGCTCCCAGTACCACCCCCGGCTCTCCCCGCACCCCAGCGAGTGTGGCCGGGAAGGAGCG